TAAAATATTCTTCTCCACACAGTGATGTGTTATATTAAAGAACATGGCTTTTTTATTATACCCACCTGTTACCTAATAAAAAGTTTAGGGAATTGGACTTCAAATTCCCCTTATTTATTGCCATATCTCCTCATAGAAATTGATGTTCCTAAGTTTTTATAGAATCATTTTGCTGGTCTCCAAATATTTGGTTTCTCTTCATTCTTTAGAACCGTTATCTTAGTTTTCAGTAATAGGGGTCATATGTGTGGAATTTTCTCAGATCCTAACCATTTTATTTAGTTCCTCATCATATATTACTAGATTTTAAAATAATATTTCTGTTTGAGAGGTAGGTTAACCAAGAAAGGGATTTGAGTTCAAAATTGAACCAACCTCTGTAGACAGGGAACTGACCAGCTGAAAGTAGCATAGATATAATGTGAAGTGAAACTGATAGCAGAATTGAAAAGAAATTAATTTAAGAACCCTTGACAGTTTTCCTCTATTTTTGTTTTTAAATTATTCTTTCTGGAAATGTAGAGACTATTTGTAAATAAGGTTATGAGTCTTGGTCATTTACCACATTTACCATTGTGGTGGTAGTTGAAAGAAATATTTCTCTTTTTTATATGTAAAATTATACTAAGTAATTTTTATAACAAGTGTGAAGTCATAAAATGTTTGAGATCCTTAGGAACTAGGATTATAAGTAATTTATAATTGGCACATAAATAGAATTTTGAGTTTGTGTTAAAAAACACAGTTGATAGTTAATTTTCAAAGGTGCTTCAAACCAGGGCATTTCAAGTTTAGGTCTACACATTGGCTACATCATAATCACCACTATAGTGTGGCTTTCAAAGTGTACTGATTTCAAGCCCCAATCCCAGATATTTAGGATTCAGGTCAGAATGGCTTCTTTTAATCTGTATGTTTACAAAACTCCCAAAGTAATCTTTCTTCATAGTCAACCATGGGAACTACCGCTTTGGGTATTTTAGATTATATTATTTATATTTTTGTATTCATTTACTTAGCCATATTTTATTTTAAACTATTAATGTTTTTTTGCAGTTAGCAGAAAACCCAATTCTGAATTTGTTTGTGGCTATTAATAATAAAAGGAATTTATTGGCTCATGAACCTGAAAAGTTCAAAAATAGGATGTGCTTCAGGAAGTTTGATGTGGGCTCCAACTTGTTGCATTGAAGCATGATTCTCAAGACTCTGCCCTTGTCATTTTTCTCCTCAGGAGGTTTTTTCCTTATTGTGTTAAAATGGCTAACAAGTATCCACATATCATAATGTCCAGAATAGGAAACTGTGCCCCTTAATTTCCAGCAAAAGATTTTGAAAACCACACCATTTGTACAACCCCTGAACCAACCACTGTGCAACATAGGTGTGATTACCCTGCTTGTTTTAAACCCTATTAATCAGATTACAAATGGGGTTAAGGATGGGGATGATTCTAATCTTAATACCATTACATAATGATGGAGAGATAAGGAATCTTGAGGAAACAACCACAAAATCTACAAAATATTCTGGAGATGAAATTATAACTCAGATCTCTCTAAAATTAAGTTCTATTTTAATAAGATACTAATTTATGTGATTTAATCATACTGCTTTTTAGTTTCTTAAATTTCCAGTAAATGTGAAGAAAGTAGTATCTATTCCTAGAGCAAAAGGTAAATTTTAAATGAAGAGTCACTAACCTTTGGGAGATAAGTATCTTTTTCCATATATAAATGAGGTACAGTGTGGACCAAGGGCTCACTCTTTAGCAGGCAGTAGGGAGAAACAATTAATTATTTTTATTGATGGCTTCTTCCAGTATTTTAAATGAAAATTTTCAAACGTACAGAAGTTGAAAGAATTGGACTATGAACACCATAAACGCACCCACCTCCATTCTGAAATTAATATTTTGATATATTTTATCTATTCTTTATCAGAAACTCACCTATCCACCATTCTAGCTATTTTATTTTTGGATGCATTTCAGAGTAAACTTGTTATAATTTACCCTTAGTCACTTAAACATGCATATTACTAACTAGAGTTATGGATGACCTTTTGATTAATAAGAGGCGTATGTACAAAGTTCTATGGTTTAAGGCCTCAATATGAATTAGATTATCATAGATATTATATTGGTAATTGCTAAAATATTCAAAAATAGTTCCAAGAGTGAAATGTACATTTAAACCTTTTTCAAATGTTACTTTATGCCCTCTTAATATAAAGTTCCTTTTATTGTGTGCCAAAACGTTATATATTTAAAGTCTGTTCAGTGAAATTACAGAATACCAAAATTGTTGATGTGTTTGAGCTCTTTAAGTTTATTACTTACCTAATTAGTTTTGCTTAGGAAACTGGTTAACCGGCAATCTATTGTTGTAATCAGCTAGACAAAAAAACTCGAAGACAATGTAGGTTCCTGGTAAATGTATTAGCGTAGTTGACATTTTCCCACCTGCTTATCAGAAAGAACCATGCGGACATTGGGCGTCAGGCCTGGGCAGGGGACCCCCCTCTCCCCCCATCACCGGCTCTGACCCCCGCTGAGGCCTGATGCCTCTGGCCCAGGCATACGGCCTGGGCAGGGGACCCCCCTCTCCCCCCATCACCGGCTCTGACCCCCGCTGAGGCCTGATGCCTCTGGCCCAGGCATACGGCCTGGGCAGGGGACCCCCCTCTCCCCCCATCACCGGCTCTGACCCCCGCTGAGGCCTGATGCCTCTGGCCCAGGCATACGGCCTGGGCAGGGGACCCCCCTCTCCCCCCATCACCGGCTCTGACCCCCGCTGAGGCCTGATGCCTCTGGCCCAGGCATACGGCCTGGGCAGGGGACCCCCCTCTCCCCCCATCACCGGCTCTGACCCCCGCTGAGGCCTGATGCCTCTGGCCCAGGCATCAGGCCGGGGCAGGGGACCCCCAGCTCTCCGCGATCTCCCGCTCTGCCCCTGCCCTGGCCTAACGCCTCTGGCCGAGGCGTCCTGCCCGGGCAGCGGGGACCCGCAGCAGCAGCGGCCCCGCGATCGTGGGCTCCGCTTTAGGCCCAGGCAAGGGACCCCTAGCTCCCGGGACTGCCAGCTTTGACCCTGCCCAGCGCCCATCGCTGGCTCCACCCCTACTTCCTGCTATCACTGGCCAGGGCGGCAAAGGCGCCTGATTCCCCGATCATGGCTGGGGGGGAGGGGAAAGGCGGCCCTGGGGGCTCTTAGCTCCCCCCTGGGTTTCTGATCACTGTCAGTGGCAGGGGGCTTCTTCCTGCTTTCCCTTTCGCCTCCCTGCATTGTGCCTACATATGCAAATTAACCACCATTTTGTTGTCAGTGAACGGCCATCTTAGTTGGCAGTTAATTTGCATATAGCCCTGATTAGCCAATGAAAAGGGTATCGTCGTACACCAATTACCATTTTTCTCTTTTATTGTATAGGATGTTTTTTTTAAATTTTACGTCACTGAATAGTTTCCCTCCATATGTTATTTTTCTCTTTTCTACAGTCTTCTCACTTTACTCACTACCTATGCCCTTTTACTTGACATCATCCTTTTCCATTTTGGGGTTCACAGAACCAAGGTGGAGTAAGTCAGTAGCTAAGGCAAATGTTAGGATAAGATAATCATGAAACAGACTGAATTTGGGAGGTGAGTTAAATCACTACATACAAGGATGCTTTTAGGAGTTAGGGCTTAATTCCTTTGGGGAACCTCAATGGAGAAGGTCTGATAAGTCCTCAAGATATTTTAGCTATTATGGTTGCAGGTGATAGAAACCCATACACATACTGGTTCAAATAATAAAGGGACTTTATTGGTTCATTAAATGAAAAAACAGGTTGCCAGGCTAGTATGGCTCAATTGGGTGGGCATCCTCCCATGCACCGAAAGGTTGCTGGTTTCATTCCTGGTCAGGGCATATGCCTGGTAGCGGGCTGAATCCCTGGTAGAGGTTGTGCTGATCCATGTTTTCTCTCTCTTCCCCTCTCCCTTTCTCTCTCTATGAAAATCAATAAATATCTTTTTAAAAAGAAAAGAAAAAGCAGGTAGGAAAGGCTTCTGAAATAAGTTAATTAGGAACCAATCTGCTTGGTTTCTCAGCTCTTCTGTTGTTTCTACCCTTCTCTGGCCGACAAACTAATATTTTAACTAAAGTTTCAAAATATGTGCGTGTTTTCCTTAAGGCTTATGGCTAAAATTCATAGGCATCTTTTGTATATATATAAGAAGCTTAGCATAAATATTTGGGATATAGTAATTGTTAAATTAGATCTGTGCTTAGGAGATTTATATGTGATGTTCATGTGTTTAAATATATAAGAAAAATTTTAGAGCCTATAGAAACTGTAGTTGTGTTTTACAGCTATACAAATATTAGCTAAATCAAACTGCTTCAGCAGGCCATATCCAATAAAAGGTTTTTAATGCAGGTTGCCAAAAAAGATCAAAGAGCAAAAAGGGGAGGGGCTATAGCATCGATTTCTAGGACTCCCAGCACACATTCCTGAGCTAATTGAATAGAAGAGAGTCAGAGCTGTCTTCCCCTTTTAAGAGTGGTTTGAAGAACCTTTTTGTCCTCCCCTTCTCTGCTGCCCAAGCAAAAGCAAATTCCCAGTGTAGCTGTAGGAGGCTCACTCCCTTCTCAGCTAAGCACCGAATCTCTTATAGGGACAGAATCATTAGCGCTCAAAATAACTAGATAAATGGCTTTGAAATTCTAGGATAATTTTTTTCACTACTAGACCCAATTAACTATTGATTTGTAAGAGTCTCTCAAAGGTACCTTTTGTAAATTGTATTTATTGTAAACAGTTCCATTAAGCATTATTTGGAAATACTCAGTAAAGTATACTATGAATTGTTTTTCATAGATAGTTTGAGAACAGATTTGTTCAGAATTTAGCCACTTAAAAGGGTATGCCGTTATGCTGTCCTGTATTTTCAAGTATTTGAGTACACGCTGTGAAAATTCCTTTGTTTTTCCTTTGATGTTTCCACAAAACAGAAAGAAGAAGGAAAGCTTCAAGGACAGCTTAACAAGTCTGATTCTCACCAGTATATTAGGGAACTGAAAGATCAGATAGCAGAGCTGAATCATGAGGTAAGTGATAAATTTTGATCTTCACATATTTCTTTCTTCCTTCCTCTGTATTGTAACAACACTTTATTGCTGGTTATGACTGACTCTTTCATGAGAAGTGTTTTCTGTAAATTCTTTTTTTAAATTTTGTTTTATTGCTTAAAGTATTACAAAGAGTATTACATATGTCTCCTTTTTTTTTGTAAATTCTTGATTATAATTATATTTTAGAAGATTGTCTTCTTTTAACAAGATTTTTTTCTGTTCCAATATTGAAGATTTATTTTTCTTAAACCTATTTAATGATGATCTAAAATAGTATTTGCATGAAAAATATTTTATTTTTTTATTGTGATCTAAAAACCCTTGATAGTTTGTCCCAAGTGTCAAAGTGACTGCAATTAAGCTAAAAATTTTTATATATACCAATAGATTTGTGGTATTTACCGTTGTGGATAGAGGGAAGTCATTTTACTCTTCTCTTCTTTTTCCCTGCATGGTGGTATTACTGAGATTGCAAAAAAGGATACTTGCCTAATTTCAGTTAACAGATTTCTTAGTAGCCGAATACTTTTAAACTGGCACTACCTTGAATCTGTGAGATTCAACTCATGAAATTCAGATAATTTTGCCTAGTGTACTATAATAAGTAATTTAAATTATTTAAACTAATGTGTTTTGATAGAGGAATACTTTCTGTTACTGTGGCTCTAGGTCAATTTCCTTGTCCTCTATTATTTTCTAGTGATAAATATCTTTAAGACATTAATGGAAAAGCATGTTTCTCATCCAGTCTTGAATTATTTGTACAATAATGTTTATTCACAGTGATGAGAAATGTAATGGGTAACATAAGCCTCTTCATTAAGGGGGGAAAAAACACTCAGTAAGTTAATTTAAACCTCAAAGGAAAAAGTTTGGATATTACTCTTTCCTGGTGTTACACTCTTCAGTTAAAGTCTGAGTGTTTTGAGTAATACCTCCTGGAGGTAGGCAATCTAAGTACATTCTGAATGAAGAAACAAAACATTAACAAAAATTTTTAATCTTAGATATGGTTTAACTTAATTTGTCCTAAAATTTTGGGCATCATTCCTGTGACTATTGATTTTCAGCCATGATAACATATGAGGTATTTAGGATTCTGCATAATTTTTACTTATTTGTGTACATTTTTTATGATCTCTTCTGATCCACTAACCTAGTCTGAAAAAACAAGTTACAAATAAGCATGGTCTAGAAATCCTTATTCTTTTGAAAACCCAAGCATTATTCCTTGTGTTCAAAAGGTTTTCTCAAGGAAATTAATGATTAAAGTAAAGCACTCTCCTATTTATAATTTTGATTTCTAGTGATAAGGAAGTTTTCATGTTGCTGAATTAAGAAAATTGTATGTGGATTGACTTTATTTCTAAGACTATCCTAAAAATCAGTCTGCAAATATTAAATTTTCCTGTCATGTACCTTGACTAAAAATAATGATATTCTCCTTGTCAGGACTGGTAGAAAATAGTTTAGAGGAGGTTTAGCTTTACCATCGGTTTTTCATGTGTGCCCTGTGAAAGCAGTCTTTTATGTTATACAAGCTTGCAAAGAAAACTAATCAACAGTAGAATTTTCTACTGTTAAAAAAAAAAAGAGCTAGATTGTGCAAATAAAAGCTAAAACAGTTTATGATGAGATGTTAATTATGGGATTCAGAGTAGGCCAAAGGCCTGGGTTTAAACAGGCTCCAGTCGGAAAACATGGTAGAGAGGAGAGTGAGTATAGTAAAGCTTGGGGCCACGGGAGCTTGGAGGGAGGGTGAGCTCAAAATACAGAGGTTGGGAGTTTAGAGGAGTCCAGATTCAATTAAGAATTAATGTCACTGCCCTAGCCAGTTGGATAGAACGTCAGCCCTAGGACAGAAGGGCCCTGGGTTTGATTCCACTCAAGGGCAGGTAAATCAGTTCCAGGCTTGATCCCCAGCCCTAGTCTGGGGGCAAGTGCAGGAGGCAACCAATAGATTCGTCTCTCTCACATTGATGTTTGTTTCTCTCTCTCTCTCTCTCTCTCTCTCTCTCTCTCTCTCTCTCTCTCTCTCTCTTTCTTTCTCTTTCTCTGCCTCTCCCCCTCACTTCCACTCTCTCTAAAACAATGGGGAAAAAAATCCTCAGGTGAGGATTGACAACAATAACAAATAGAATGAATGTGACTAAGTTGTGGGAAATAAGGGTAGATGGACTAGAACCAGTTTATGGTGGATCTTCAAGGCTAGAAGAGATTAAATTTACTAAATAATATGAAACTATTATAGGTCTTCCATTGGAGATTCCTTTTCATTATTTTTTTGAGCAGATTTTAATACTTACCTGTTTTAAAGTTTTATAACTAAGGAAAAGATAAATGAAAATAAGGTACAATTTAAACCAAGATACTGATTGTAGTAGACTTAATGAAAATTACTATTTGTTAGACCAATTTCTTAAGAGGGTTAAGTTAGGTAACTTTTTATTTTAGTGATTTTTCATTTTACTTATTTACCTTTTTTTCAATTACAGTTGGCATACAATATATTTGTTTCAGGTGTACAGTATATAAGTTACGAAGTTATCACCCCATTCTTGTAATATAGCACTTCACAGTGGGGGGAAAAAGGTAACCAAAATCAGTCTAAAATTTCCAACTTAACTTTTGCCTATATGCTAGAATTTGACAAAATCTTTGGCTTTCAACATAAAAATTAACTTTGTAGATACAGCATTGTTGTACATGTTATAACAACTGTGAGCACTTAGAAAAGTCAGCTGTAAAGAGGATTAAGCAGGTTATTTTTTATGAATGGCTGATTTTATTGTTGATCTATAAAATAACAGTAATAGTTACTATCTATTGAGTACCCTTTATGGGCCAAGCATTATGTCAGACACTTTATATTTATTATTACTAACCCTCCTTCATAATACTCCCACATGTTGATGGTATTCTCAGTTGAATGGATATAGAAACAAACTCACAATGATTAAGTAACTGGCCAAGGATTATACAAGTAGTAAACGGTTGGGCCAGGATTGAATTCAATTTGGCCTATTCTTTTCTGTGTTGATTAGGGAGACATTAGATTAGAAAACGTCAATATTTAAAAATTTAAGAGTGGCAGTTAATGACAATATTTTACTAACTATGTTATTCACTCTCTTGACACGTGAATTTGCATATACCCAATAAGTGAATTCTGCGGTTGACCTAGCCAGTGAGTTCCACAGTTGACCCAGCCTGAAGAACCCGTCTCTCCCTGTTTAGCACTACAAATGGAGCTTTATCTTCACTTCCTGCGGTTTCCTATGATTCATCCCAGTGTCTTCTTTGAATCCCAACCCCTGCTATTCCTACTCTTACCACCTAACTAATTTTGTTCCTAATTTTACCTACTTTTCATAGAAATTTTTAAATTTGGAGCCTCTATTATCCTGCTAAGTTATCCACAGAATTCACCGTGGAAACCTGTGCTATCCCAGACCTGGCAAGAGCTGTGGTTAAATCCTCTGCTCTCCCTACATCCTGCCCTCATGGCATACATAGAAAAGAAGCTGGATCCCAATTCAACTGCTTTCCATATCCCATCTTCCACATCCTACCCTCCCACCCATCTGTCATCATAGCACCCACTATATACTAGGCACTGGGTTTTGAATGGAAGATAAAGAAGATTAAAACACAATCTATAGCCTCAAGAGTCTCACAGTGTATAATAAAAAATACAGCATTATCAGAGGCCCAATGCACCAATTCATGCACGGGTGGGGTCCCTTGGCCTGGCCTCAGGGATCAGCCTGAAACCGGCTCTGATTGCAAGAGGGCACAGACCAGGCCGAGGGGCCTCTAGTATGCATATAAGATCTTTGGTTAATCTCTACCCTCCCTTCCCCCTTCCCTCTGAGATTCATCAGTCATATACTAGGCACTGGGTTTTGAATGGAAGATAAAGAAGATTAAAACACAATCTATAGCCTCAAGAGTCTCACAGTGTATAATAAAAAATACAGCATTATCAGAGGCCCAATGCACCAATTCATGCACGGGTGGGGTCCCTTGGCCTGGCCTTCAGGGATCAGCCCGAAACCGGCTCTGATTGCAAGAGGGCACAGACCAGGCCGAGGGGCCTCTAGTATGCATATAAGATCTTTGGTTAATCTCTACCCTCCCTTCCCCCTTCCCTCTGAGATTCATCAGTCTGTTCCATGTTTCCATGCCTGTGGTTTCTGCCCGCTGGTCAGTATGCATCATAGCTACCGGTCAAATGGTCGGCCGGTCACTTAGGCTTTTGAATATATAGAATATAGCTACCATTCATTTAACAGTCACTCTCTGCTGGATACTAAGTGTTATACTTCCATTATTTCTTTTTATTTTTTATTTTTA